ATCGATATCAATTAATTTTACTAATTGCGAATGAACTTCTAATATTTCAATATGAACGTATCGAATGTGAAATGTGATCCATTTATTACTAGAAATATCTGTTGATTCATCTATAGAAATAGAAAATTTTGTATTTTGAATATTTTCTATTACATGATCCGTCTCAACTGGACATAAAACGTTCGTAATTATATTCGTACATTTTTGTCGACTCATAGTCATGCTTTTTATAGTCATTATAAAAGTTAAGCAGCATCGAGCAGGATCCCAAGAAGGATGAGTGACCATTTTAGAAACATGCCAATGATACAAGATAAAAAATGTTTCATTACTTTCTTTCATTTTTTTCCATTTTTTTCACTTTTCCGTAAGAGGTGTCACATATATTATAGATTTTCACGATCTATATGGCTGTTTGGGATACTCTTATGCATACCCTATATGATATACTGTTTTTAAACCATTGTCATCCTATGACCATATTGCGGGATATTCTCTAGTACATATTAAGGGATTAGGGGATTAAGTTAGTGAACGGTAGTAATCTAAATACATTTCACAGTATATCGCAGTACGTATTTCGAATAATATTCGGAGAATATTTCAAATATACTTGATATGATATCCCGTGGAACGTTCTCAGAATAGACGAGTGCTATTAGGGATGGACTGTAAGAATTGTACGATGGAACTGTAAGAATACTGAAAGAAGACAACCGTAAGCGGTCATGAAAGAGATTCGGAATATAAACAGCTAACAATGAGGAGCCGTCGTGGTCGTGCAGACTAAGTGTCGGATTGGTAGACGAAGGATCCCGAGTTCAAATCCAGTCGGTCTCCGTTAATTTTTTCCGAATCTAATAGATATCTTTCAGTACTAAGATAAAAGATGTTTTATCACTTTCTTTTATTTTTTTTATTTTTTTAATTGTTTTTACTTATTTTCCGTAAGGGATGTCACGTATATTATAGATTTTCAGTACTAGCAATCAATATCGGAACGCAACTATAATCTACTGAAAACTTTCCGTTTTCACTTTTCCCTATTCCTGTCATCATTTGCTGCGAATATTTGCGGCGAAATTCCATGAAAAGTATTACCCCGGATATAAGAACGTACTTAGAACATACTTAGTACGATCGTAGTACGTATAAGAATATTCTGAGATGACAACATTCGCATTGCGGTCTTCTCAGAACATACTCAGAATGTACACGTGCTATTAGAGTAAGGACCTATTCAGACAAGCTTGCATAGCAGCATAACCTTTCCTTATGCATATGCATAAGGAAAGTTACCCAATCGTATTTCTATCATAAAGACACATATAAAATACGATTGGACAATTTTCTTTATGCACATGGTTATGATGCAATGTCAGTTTGTCTGGATAGGCTCTTACGTATACGTTTTTCTCTGCCTGAGTGTCGGTCCACAATAAGTATTTAATCTTTAAGTCGTAAGAAATTGACCAATCATAGTCGATTATTCTTTTCATATTCGATTATAATTGGTCAATTTCTTACTTCTTAAAGCTTAAATCACCTATTGTGGACCGACACTTAATCCCTTAATCTACAATAGGTGATTTAAACTTTAAGCCATAAAAAATTGACCAATCATAATTGATTATTTTCCTATTCTTTGACTATGATTCGTCCATTTCTTCCCCTATGTCTATGGTACGGTAAGGGTCGGAGCACACACATCGTTGCATAACGCATAACGCATTACACATAAGAAAATAAACCAATCAGAATCTTTCATTTCCATTGTGGAGGTAGAAATGGATGACTGATGATTCATTTTCTTATTTGTATACATTATGCAGAAGTATGCTGTATGTGAAGTATATGCTCCAGCTCTAAAGCCTAGTCTACAATGACTAACATAAAACTATAAGGCTGTAAGAACCATATTTAAATAAATTATTTTCATTTCTTATGCTTAACAACTTCACAATATACAGCACAGTTATAGTCGCAAGCCACAATAATTGACCGATCACAGACGAATGTGGGGAGAATACTTGATTGTAATTGGCCCTTCTTACGGCTTATGACCCCGCACACAACATATTGTAGAATAGGCCTAAGTCTTGGTCCACAATAGGTTAATCTTTAATCTTTAAAAATTGACCAATCATAGTTGATTATTTTTTTCATATTCAATTATTGGCCAATTTCTTATTTCTTAAAGCTTAAATCATCTATTGTGGACTGACACTAAACCGGCGTCTACAATGAAACTTTAAGACATAAAACTTAAGAAATTGCCAAACCACAATCGATTATTTTTCTATAAATCGATTGTAGATTGGCCAATTTTTTAAGTACTTAAAGTCATTAAAGCTTAAAGCTCATTAGTGTCGGTCCACAATAGATGATTTAAGCTTCAAGAAGTAAGAAATTGACCAATTATAATCGAATATGAAAAGAATAATCGATTATGATTAGTCAATTTCTTCCGATTTAAAGATTAAATACTTATTGGATCGAGACTTATAAAATGGCTTTAAGAATCTAACATAATGGGTCTGTTCTTTTTAGCTGCACTAGTTCAGAATTTATCTTTCTTCTTTCAGTATAGAAAAGAAAGATAAATTGTGAACTAGTACAACTAGTTCAATTAAAGCCATGTTCCAAAATTAATTGGAAGTACTGTCGCTGCTATTATTAAAATGACTGACTTTTACCGTTCCGAAATTTAAATTTTTACTATCTAGTACTGGATTCGGAACGGAAGAGCAGTGTAAAGCAGTCAAAAAGTGTACATAAAGAATCAAAACATAACCAATATGGATCGACATATGTTATTCAATGCTATTAGAATAATAACCGAACGATTCAAGTGATGATAATTTTGATGATGATATGATGTTACAACTAATAAATAAGATAATTAATAGTAAACGCAGATCACTGTTTTTAAAACCACGCGTACAAAATTATATTTAAAACGTAGTTTCTGTATTAACAGATGCAGACTTTAAATCACATTTTCGGTAAGAAAAGTGCAGTTATTTATTAAAAATATTACTTAATAAAATATTATATATAATATATAATAATATTCATATTTATCAATAATATTCATATTCATCAATAATATTCATTATTTATAGTAATGTACATTATTACCATATTGTTATATACTACTGTTTCAAAAATAAATGTTTTGTTAATTACAAACTTATTATTTTTAATAGAATATCTCGAAAAACTTTCTATTGGTTATTAACCATAATAGGATCAAAGTTAGAAAAAAAGTCATCCTGATTTGCAGATAATACCTGGTCGCCTTCCCATTAATTTGGAAAAACAACTTCTAATAACCCTTTGGACGCTTGCTATTCCAGATTCATATCGGTAAGCAAATTAAAACACCGCAAAATAAAATATCGTACTGTAAATATTTATTTCATTATATTGTAGATCTATATGTGACTGTTTTAATGTTGATAAAACTACTGGTCTACGCATAGTAAGATGCGTTATAAATGCTCTTATTAGTCTTCGAAAGCAATTCATGGCCAACAGAAGACGAGGCAAATGAATCTATTGTAGCATTTAAGCGGCAAAAAGGATTTCCAAGTGTTATCGGTGCATGAGATGGAACACATATTGTTATAGATATTCCAAATGATCACCCTGAAGTATACATTAATCGAAAGGGCTCTCATTCTATTCAGCTGCAGGTATTATTTTATTTCATTTCTTGCACATATCTATATAATTAATAAAAAGTGATAGTAACATGTAATCTATTAAAATTGCAGGTGATTTGTAAGCATAACTTACAATTTATTGTTTCGTTGGCTATTCTGGATCAGTACATGATCAAGTACATGATGAAAGAGTATTTCGATTCTCTGGTATACGACGTTTCGATGATCCATTGAAATTTCCTAATGATAGTCATGTAATAGGAGATGCAGCTTACAAAATTCAACGACACCTGTTAATACCGTTTAAAGATAATGGACGATTAACGCAATGGCAACGAAATTTTAACTACTGCTTATCTTCGATTCGAATAGCAGTAGAACGTTCAATTGGACTCTTGAAAGGACGATTTAGAATGTTGCTAGATAAACTTCCTGTGAGGCAAATTGATCTTATTCCTAATTATGTAATGGCGTGTTGCGTATTGCACAATATATGTATATCGAGGAATGACATGATCGATGATATTCCGATATTTGGTGAAAACAATGACATACAAAATGTAAGGAATGGAGATAACGATAATATCAATCGAGAATTACATATTGAAGGTAGGTACGGAAAAGAGAACGAATACAAAATGCTCTCGATATCCAGTTACCGTAATTGTTTTATTATTTATTGTACGTACTTATATTTATATGTTGTACTTATATAAACTAGAAATAAAACTATTTTATAAAATGTAAATTTAAAATAATATATATATGTATTTCAGTAATATAATTCTAATAATAGTAATATAATTATATTAAATAATATTAAGTAATTGTAATATAATTTTTTATGTTGTATATAATATAAAAATTGTGATAAATAAGAAATAAAAAAATTAACTGCAAACTCATAGAATTTTATTTTTTTCTTTTGTATATCCATTTCTGTCTATAATATCTATAAAAAAAATACATGTTTGGCTCTATACACTATTATTTGACAGCTCATAATCACAGTCGTTTTATAATCAATCTATTATAATCTTATTTCTATATTATATATTTAAATGTTATAACTTTTCGGAACAGAAAAGCAGTGTAAAGCAGTAAAAAAGTAAAAAATACATAAAGTGTCAAAACATAACCGATATGGATCGACATATGTTATTAAATGCCATTACAACAATAATAAAAAACGATTCAAGTGATTATGATATAATGTTACAACTAATAAATAAGATTGATAGTAAACGCGGACTACGCGTACAAAATTATACTCAAAACGTAGTTTCTGTATTAACAGATGCAGACTTTAAATCACATTTTCGGTAAAAAAAGAAACTTCACTTCATAAACAAAAAAAATCTAAAAAAATAAACATTAATTGTGTCGATCTATATTAAAAATAAAATTAAAAGATACATGTAACAATAAACAAAATCTTACTAATTCTTCTTATTTGATACTTTGTACTTTTGTTTTTGTACTTTGTCAATTATTAATTTTGTCATTATTAACTTCTTAATATTTATGATTTATTACAATATTGCACGCACGCACGCACGTACGCACGCACGCACGCACGCACG